CCCACATATCTATGTGTTCCCAGATTATTGCAATATATTTGTTCCCAGATTGAGTATATTTGAGCCGTTATTTATATTAATAGAGTGATGCATTTCTATTTGTTAAAGCACGATGAAAACATGTGGGGTCCCATCATGCCAATAAGGCAACAAAAACTTTTTTTTTGGTAAAAAGCAACATAAACTTTTTTTTTTGGGGTCATATAAGCAACAAAAACTTGTTAAGGTCTCGCCATTTTATTGAATTATATATCTTTTTTTTTTGGGTCAAACACAATCTTGTTAACGTGTTGGAAAACATATTATTTTAATACATCTATCAGATATAATTTAAAATTACAAATAAATATGTGAAACATATATGGAAGAAATTGCATGAAATGCAATCTGATTATGTTTCGTTTTCTTTACCTCCTCCTGTTTGGATGTATGCTCAGTAGTATGGAAATATGGAAGAATTAACATGGAAAAAAAAAGATGGAAGAAATGTATTTACCAGAAGAAAGTGTAACAAAGTTTTAAACGGATAAATAAGTATTTGGCCTACCCATAGACCCCATACGAGTTATCGTGATTAAATAGTATTATTTGCATTAAATTCGACCTCTAATACACAAGAATTCCAAGGTGGGACCCAACTGGATTGTTGTAATTCGATCTAAGCGTGAATTGACTACGCAACTTCTCTTGATGCATGGTGCTGTTACTACGCTGTTAGCTATTGTAATTACAAACTTTCCACATAATAATGACTTTTTTTTTATCTTGGGAATAAAGTAATAAACTACCGAACTACAATTTAAGTTCAAAAATATTATTATTTCTTTTTTTGCTAGTATATATAACGTGTTAAGGAAAACATATTATTTTAAAAAATTATTATTTTTAAAAAGCTTCAGTGAGGGTAGGCCAAGTACTTATTTTACCCATTTAAAAAATTATTACAAATTTTTTAAAAAAATTTGCTATGGTAAATTACATAACATTTCTTCCATATTTTTCAGTATATTATTTTAATATATCTATCAGATATTTTTTTGGCACGAATATTAGATATAATTTAAAATTACAAATACAAATGTGAAACAAATATGGAAGTAATTACATGAAATGCAATCTGATTATGTTTCGTTTTTTTTACCTCCTGTTTGGATGTATACTCATTTTCTGTGTGGATCTTCAAATTGATAATAAAGAAGGTGTTTCTTTTTTTAAAAATATGGAAGAACTAACATGGAAAAAAAATGATGGAAGAAGTGTTATGTAATTTATATTAACAAATTGTAATAAAGTTTTGGACGGATATAAATAAGTAATTATCCCCTACCCATAGAATTCACTAGTTACACCACTGAATTTTTTTTTTTTTTTTTTTTACTTAACATTCAAACTGAATTACACGAACAATTGTAATAAAGCTTCAAACGGATAAAATTAAGTATTTGGCCTACACATAGGAATTTTTTTCTTCTAACTATTTAGATTACATGTAACTTCTATTATGTAACATAATAAAATCGACCTTATTCTAATGTGGGACCCAACTGGATTGTAGTGATATATATTTTTTTTTTTTTTTGGTAAAATGGATTGTAGTGATTTGATCCTAGCGTGTGTTGAATACGCAAACCTCTCTGCATGCATGATGGGCATGATGCTGTTAGCTATTTTTAATTAATCTACATAATAATGACATTGACATCAGCAAATAATTTTTTTGTTTTAATCCTGGGATAAAAATTTATTTTTACAGCTCAAAATGATACTATTTACTATTTGCAACCAAAAAGCATTTCTTTATTTACTGTGTTTTGAACTTTTGAACCCCCCAAAAAAATATATAGAAGAAATATCAAATGAAATGTATAGTTCGATTTGGTATACAAATTTAGCTACCGATAAAAAAATAAAAATAAAGTGATTTTTTTAGAAACCTTTGAACAAAACGACAAAGTTTGTTTTTCTTTCTTCTCCCTCCCTCGCCTATCTCTCTCTCTTCCTTTTTCTTTTATGCTTTTTGTAGTCATGGAGGATTCCGGCGGCGATATCAACGGCGGTTCTGCTTCTGCTTCTGCTCCTCAGCATCCTTCGACCATGGTGAGATATTTCATTTTTTGTTTATCGTTCATTTTTTTTCATTTTCAAGTAGGTACTCTCCTCTTTTGGGTGCTGAAATGCTGCTCCTCCTCCTGCTCCGGTGAGAGAAATAAGAGATTAAACACTGAGATGTCTTCACCTTCTTCCTTCAACAACCATTGCCCTCCTCGTCGTGCTCCAAACCTACTTGACTCCACCTACATCAAGACCCTGTTCACCACAATCACCGCCTGCTTCTGCGGCGGCGGACGACTCCACCACTCTCTGTTTGTGGCTTCTCTCGTCTTCTGTTTTCCGAAAATGTGAGAGAAATAAGCGATTCACCACCGAGATGTCTTCACTTTCTTCCTTCAACAACCATCGCCCTCCTCGCCGTGCCTCAAACCTCCTTGACTCCACCTACATCACGACTTGTCCACCACAACCACCGCCTGTTTCTGCGACTGCGGACGACTCCACCACTCATCCAACGTCACCGCTCTCTGTTTTGTGGCTTCTCTCGTCTTCCATTTTCTCTGCTCCTTCCGTCAATGTGAGAGAAGTAAGCTATTAACCACCGAGATGTCTTCACCTTCTTCCTTCAATAAGCGATTAACCACCGAGGTTGCTATGTAGGCTTGGGAAAGCGTTGTTGGAAGCTTGGTTGAGAGAGAGGTCAGATTCTTCTTCTTCTTCTTCAGAGGGTGGTTTCAGCCAGTGTGAGTCATTAGCAAATGAACTTGCAGCCATGAATCTAAAAGGCAACAACAACACCAAGAGGTCAAGGAAACCGTCTTCGCGTAACAAGCCAGCTCAATCGAATGCTGATGGGTCAGGGAAGGTTGAGTGTAACCACAAGCATGGACGCAAAATCGGTTCATTCATCGCTGCGGCTCGAGAAGCGTGTACATTGCCATACTTGATTGGAGCTGCACCGGTGTGTTATGGTGTACCAACTGGTATCACAAGGAAAAAAAGAGTTGAAGCTCTTCTTCCTTCTTCGTCTTGTTTGGAGCTGCACCGGTTGGTTTGGACATATAACACAGTTTGAAGGATATTTTACTGGGATGAAAGTCTTAAGAACATTGGGTAACCACTCTTTTGTTCTAGGAGTCTAGAAGCTTCCTGGCTGGGTCCCTGGAAATGTCTGCTTCTTGGAGACTTGTCAAACTACAAATTGCCCGACTCTGTACAGAAAAAACTGGTAAAAGATCTCAAGTCCAAGTGCAAAATGGAAGTAAATGAGATGCTTTTGAAGATCATTCTTCTGTTAGATCCTGAGGTTCAGGTTCGTCAATCATATCCTTATCACTTTCCTGCAGATGTATTACAACATTTGACTGGCAAAGAAGACTCTGCTTTTTCCCTTGCGCTTACAGATTTTCTTACCTGCCATTGTGGCGACTCTATGGGACGTAACAGACCGAGACATTGATCGGTTTGGGAAAGCGTTGTTGAAAGCTTGGTTTAGAGAGGCGTCAGATTCTTCTTCTTCTTCAGAGGGTGGTTGCAGCCAGTGTGAGTCATTAGCTAATGAACTTGCAGCCATGAATCTAAAAGGCAACAACAGCACCAAGAGGTCAAGGAAACCGTCTTCCCGTAACAAGGCAGCTCAATCTAATGCTGATGGGTCAGGGAAGTTTCTGCGGCGGCGGATGACTCCACCACTCATCCAACGTCACCGCTCTCTGTCTGTGACAGAGAAGAATGTGCTGTCTATGCAGCTTAAAGTTAGGATGATTATTGATGAGGTTATATTTGTATGAGGTTTCTGATGATCCTACTGAATTTGATAGGTGGAACATCTGCTTGATGAGATGGCTTTAGTGGATGAGGAGAGAAAGAATCTGCGAGAAGAGATGGGGGCTCTGAGAATGCAGAAAATAAAGTATCTGGAGGAGAAAGTGCAGAAGCTTAAGAATGAGAACCAACAGCTTACCAAGCTGGTTGAAGATCTGCAAAAGACTATGGAGGAGCAGGGGAAGGATAAAAGTGAATCTGAACTTCTTATCAAGGTTAGGTTTGCTCTTGTAACTTTTTGTAAGAGTTATTTGAGGATTTATTTTAAGCTTATGTTGGATGTGATTTTTGCAGAAGCCTGAGAAAGTACTCAAAGAAAACTCTTATCTTAAGATGGCTTATGATGGCCTCCCCACTGGCTTGCAACAATTCTTTGCACCAACAGGTTTTGTTGGAGGAGATGAACTGGGTGAGTTGATGGCAAGCCTTGTGACAACAACAGCCTACAACTGCACCTATGGAAACAAAGATCTGAAACAGTTTCTTTTCATAAACTGTTTGGCAAACTTTCTTGGAAGTGTGGCAGGGAAAATCTGCAAAAACATGATCACCATCATTGCTCAAACCAATGTAAGTATACTCCTTTCTTACTCTTTTTTGTTGTTTCAATAGTTTAATTCTGACTTCAATATTTAGATGGATGAAGAGGGAAGAGACAAACTCAAAAAAAGGATTGGCAAATCAGTGGTGTGGATGTTCCTTGGTGCAATCATCCCAATGATTGCTGGAGGTTTCATCAAATCATACAAGTTAAGACTATTGGTGACTGCCCTTTTTGCATTGGTTGTTCAATTGTTCACTACAGCAATTTGGAAGCAAGCCTATAATGTTTCATCTATCCAAGCTGGGTTGACTGTTGTGTTGGGTATTATTGGGATTGCTGTAGCTGCTGGTATTACCCATTTCACAAAAATAACATCATAGAGTTATTTGTACTGTTTAAGTTTCAGTTGTATCGTGACATTTATGTGGTTTGTATCGTTAAACTCTATTTAAAAGACCTTATTGTACTGTTTTAGTTTTTCTAATAAGAGAACAAATTTATTTCAGACTTGGGTTACATAGTTAACAAGTGGAATAAGATAACCATTTCGTCTTCAAAAATTTATACCGTCACACACATAAACTAAAGTGTAAAAGACTTGAAAATGAGATGATGAGCGACAGAGAGTGTAGACCTTCTCTAATGTGCATCTTCTTCTAAGTTCTCAATTAGAGGGGGATTACCAAAATTTTCACAAATTCGAAACCAAAAAAAATGGCGGCCACTGATGAAGTCCGTCTTCTTTCTCTCATCGAATCCTCCCACGCCGGCGATGTCTTCTCCTCCTTCTCCGATTACCTTCGACCTTTCTCTGCTCTATCATCGACTTCCCGGAAACAAGACCGAACAGTTACGGTTCGATCCCTCGGCAAGCAATTCCTTCCTTTCCTCAACAAATCGATCTCGCTCTTCCCCAAACGGCTCTCCGTCGCCGCGAATCCCGACAAGGAAGCTCGTGAATCGGCCGGAGATCTGTTCAGGGCGTACGAACTCTGCTTGGATTGCCTTGAATCGTTCTCCGCTCAGTTAGCCTGCAAGCCCCATACAGTTCAGCTTCAGAGGCTGCGAATGATTTACTGTCTCGATGCTTGGGGGTTTTATGAGCGTGTTAGTGCCCAAGCGTTCAAGGTTCTGGAGAGGCTAAGAGGCTCCGGTATTAGCTCCCGGAAGTGCCGGTTGTTGCCGGAGGTTCAGGACGGAGAGGCGGAGCTTGCGATGGTTATAGTAGAGGCTGTGGCGGCTGTCTTCAAGGCTATTGGAATGGCCCTTCAAACAGATGATAAGCCGTACAGAACAGCCCTTCTCTTGCTCGAGGAGGTCAGAGCTTGGTTCAGGTCTGTGTGGGATTAACTTTCTTCTTTGATTTTGGATTAATGCTGCTTCCGTTTCACACTAAGGAACTTCAAATTTTTCTTTCAAGAAATGCCACAGCCTGAAACTTTGTTACTGTGCAGGGTCTTAGATGCCAAGGCGTATGAGAAATTGCACAGAGTGCTCGTGACAAATCTGGGTAAATGTGCTCTTTCTCTGGTTAAAGAGGCTGAGCGTTTTGATGGGGATTTCGTGCGTTCTTTCTGTGATTCAACTGTGAAGGAACACTATAAATTTGCATTGTCAAAAGATCGAATTTATAAGGTGAGTTTTGTCCTTTGATGTCTTCCCTTCTTGCTTCTGCTGTTCTTTTACATGCTGTCATCTAATAGATAATCAAATCCAATGCCCGTTTCTAGTTTGCTCGTGAGGTGCTTTCTGTTCTGTTCGGATTGAAGGATAGAAGAATGTCAGTGACCATTGACATTTCAATGTCTTTGTTGCGCAGCTTAACTTGCCAATTCGTGGTAAGCCTTGCATCCTGACTCCTGTAGTCCTGTGTACATCGAGTAACTATTTCAAAGATATATCTTTCCTTATATTCTGGTGTCACCTGCTCCTCCACCTGTTGCTGGATCGGGTGACTTTAGGTTCCTGCTAGCTACTCAGTTGAAGCTCTACCGAAAACTTGCAACGTCTTATAACACAGCTCCTTTTTCAGGCTGATACTAATGAGGATTTAATGGAGTTTGTTGACCTAGTCTCTTATTGCGCTCACAAAGTTCGAGCAGCCGGAGACATGTACTGTGGAAAAGTTTCAAAATATTTAAATGAGATGGCAGCTAACTTCTCCGAGGTATTTTCTCTCTCCTTGGCATGTAAACCCGCCTCAACTTATTCAGGAAGTATCCTGGTGTATGAGTTAATCTATAAAGTGACTGCTTGGCAGGCAATACCACAACTTAATCAGATTCTTAGACTTTATTCGTCCGGGCTGTCCATCACGGTTTACGATTCCACGTTTGGAGAAAGTAAGGTTAAAGATGCAACAGATGATTGGAAGATTCAAGCTTTGCTTGATGATGAGGCTAGGTGGCAAAGCTTAGTTTCTTTACTCGCCATGGTTGATAGTTACTCAGGTGCTGTACGCAATCAGACTGATGGATCATTGATTGGTGGACATAAGAACTACAACAATAAAACGAATGATAGCTGTAAAAACAGAAACAAGAAGACTTGTTGGCCACAGTATGTAGATGCCTTGAGTTTCTTGTGCCAACCGCTTGCGGACTTGATAAATTCAGTGAAAAGAAAGATTGTTTTGAAGTCAGAAATGCCCTGCGCTTCGGCTCACCTGTCTACTATTCATGATGTTTTTCTCCAATATTGTGATGGTTGTCTCTTCCTTCAGAGGTAAGGTGATCATTATCTCCCTTACGCTATATTCTTTTGTAAAATCTTCTTCTGTGGGTTGAATGCATTTCTCACCGCTGTTTACCCACTTCTTAGATGCCCGTCTGACACGGGAGGTAGAGCAACTTACAATAACAAAGCTTTGTTAAACGTGGCTATGGCTGCTTTCATTATCTCACTGAGAACCCAGCTTAAATTGGAGGTTAGGTATTTATGTGCAATGCAGACAAATCAGTGGAAAATATCGTTCAAGTTACCAACATTTTATCATAAATCTAACTTGGTGATCCAACATCTTCCTTTTCAGATCAGTGCACATCTAGTTGAGGATGTAATTACCAGTCCATGGATCCGATCTCAAGAACTCAAGTATCTATTAGCCTCGCTATACAATATTGGTGTCGTTTTGTACAGAAATAAGGAACTAGAAAAGGTGGAGTACATGCTTTTTGGCGCTTATAGATTTTCTATGCAAACAAGTATGAAGATTGAATAAAAATCTGCTCCTGCTCTATTTGCGTGGACCCATGCATCTATATCATATATTCTCTTTTTTCATTTTCTTAGTTCATTTTATAGAGTAAGTGTTCTACTCTGCAGGCTTGTGAGGCGCTCAGGCTTTGTTCCAAGGCATCATGGAGATGTGTTGAACTACATTGCCAGATGTTTGAAATCGTCAGGCCGAGCACAGAGATCGTCTCGGAGAAACTGAAGAGGAAAATCGCCAAGAGCAATAAGAGAAGAAGAAGAAGAGGGAAAGAAGATAAAAGAGGACTCTTTGTGTTTCCCCTTCAATCTCTGGTCACAGGAGCTTCGTACTCTTACTCGTGGATGAGTTTAGCCCAAGAAAACGAATGGCACGTGTTGCTCGACACCTCTGCTTTAGGTTCCAAAGACATGGAGACTTTAGGTCTCTCTCTGTTTCAGCCAGATTTCCTCATCTGTTCTTTTACAGAGGTTTTAGGAAAAGACGATCCTTCCGGTTTCGGTTGCTTGTTCATAAAGAAATCTAGCTCTCAAGCTTTGTCAGAAGCACCTGAACACGTCACGAATCCGGCGAATCTCACGGCGTTAAAAGCCGAACCAGCTTGGAAAACTGAAAATGACGAGATTACCCTTGGAAAAGGTTACGAGGACCACAAGGCGTCTACTTCTGCCACTGAAATCGAAGAAGATGATAGAGCAATTATTGAGTTTCGAGGTTTAGACCACGCAGATTCTCTGGGGCTGATACTGATCAGTCGTAGGTTAAAGTCGTTGACTTTGTGGCTGGTTCGAGCCTTGATGACTCTGAAACACCCTGGGTCTCATGAAACAGAGATGCCTCTGGTCAAAATCTGCGGGCCCAAGACGAGAACGAATCGAGGACCGTCGATCTCGTTCAACATTTTCGACTGGCAAGGAGAAAAGGTCGATCCTTTAGTGGTGGAGAGGCTCGCGGAGAGGGAGAAGATAAGCTTGCGATGCGCGTATTTGCAGAAAATTAGGATCGGGAAAAACAAGAGAAGAAGCGACGACGAGAAACAGAACCTGATGAGTTTGAGAGTGTCAGTTGTGAGTGTTAGGTTAGGGTTTATGACGAATTTCGATGATGTTTTTAGGGTTTGGGGATTTGTGTCGAGGTTCTTAGATGCGGATTTCGTGGAGAAAGAGAAGTGGAGAAAGAAAGCTCTTGAGCAAATACAAATTGCCAATTAAACGATTCTAAATCCGTATGGTTGAACATTCAACATTTCGGATATGGATTCGGTTACCTTAAACCGTGGATCGATTAAGCATTCTATTTTCTTTCGGTTGGTTTAGTTTGGTTCATTTTGGTTGATACTTAGCTTGGTTTCGGTTTGGTTTGAGAAAACCCGAAATCAGACGTAGTACATTATATGTCTCATTAATAAAACAATAAATAAATACAAAAATGTGACCAGATTAAAAAAAATTGAAATATAAATTAGCTAAAATTTTGTTGAGAAAGGGTTTAGTTTTTTTTTTCTTTAGTATGGAAAGTTTTGAAATACAAATTTGCTAAAATTAGCTTAAATCGGAAATAAAACCAAAATTTAAAATGTAAAAGGTAAATACTAACTAAAATTTACTGAGTAAATAAACAATAAAATTAAGGAGAGTTTTAGCCGAAAATGCATTATGCGGATGATTTTTTTTTTTTAGTATGGAAAATCTTGAAATACAAATTAGCTAAATGAGATTATGAGAGAGTGGAGTACAGAAAATGGACATCTTCTTTCTAAGTTCTTAATTAGCAGGATTGCAAATTTTCACAATTTCAAAACCAAAAATTACGTAATTTATGTGCTGGAACTAAAACTTTGTTTTGTATTTGTACTTTAGAACTTATGTGCTGAAACTAAAACTTTGATTTGTAATTTGTACTTTGTTATGTCTTGTAATTTTAGAATATGGATTTGATTTTGCCATTTTGGTTTGCATTTGCAGTATTCTCTTTTCTATTTATTTCTTGCAGTATTTCTTTTCTCTGTGCAGTTATTTTTTATTAATTTTAATTAATAAAAAATTAATATTAAATTTTAAAGCATTTAAAGAATATGAAAAGTTTGTTTTATTAATTGACTCTTAACTAATATTTATATTAATGTTAAAAAAAATTTATGTTATAACTAATTAAAAATATTGATAGATATGTATTAATTTTTATATAACTGTAAATTACTTAATAATATTCAATATATATTTTAAATTATTTTTAAAGATTATTTATAATAAAATACTAACAAGTAACAAATCAAATGATGATTCTATTAATTTAAATTTTTTATTAATTGACTATTAGTTAATATTTGTGTAAATGTTAAACAAAATTTTATGTTATAACTAATTAAAAATATTGATGATATTTATTAATTTTAATATAAATTTAAATTATTAAATAATATTTAATTTTTTTATTTTTTTGAATAAAATATTAACAAATAAGTAAATAAGTGATGATTATATTAAAAAGATTTTGAAAAAATTGAATATTAATAATGTGCGGGTATTCACCTAGTATATAAAAAAGACAATCAACTCTCTCCAGCTGAGTGACACATCAGCAGTGGAGAGAGTGACACATGTCCATTAAAAATATTAATAAAAGTATTAATTAATCAAATTTAAAGCAAATACATTAAAGATTATAAGTAAATAAACACATTAAAGAATAAAAGTAAATAATAATATATATTTATATTAGAATGAAATTAAAATTAAATTTAAGTCTATAAAATTTATAAATATTATATAATAAAAAAAAACTTTTTAAATGCACAATTCTATTTTTTCAAGTGATTTAAACTTCATTTTTAAACAAAAATTATAATTAAATTTTAATGCAAGTGAAAAAAAAAAGATTGAATAAGTTAAGAATTTTCAAATAATCTTATATAAAACTCCAACTAATAAAATTATAAAACACAAATAATATTTAAAGAATGATGTCCACATAAAAATGTCATACATGATTTTTTTACTTAAAAAAAAAAGATGGAATCATGATATATATAACCAAAAAAAATTAATATAATAAATTGAGAAAGTTAACAAATATTATATTAGTAAGATTTACAAGACTAAAAAGAATATGAAGATCGAAGAACAAATAAATATTTCTCTCTAATATTCAACGTATATTTTTAAGTGAACTATTACGTTTTCATATAAATTTAAAATAGTAGATTTTTAGTCCTTTATTATCTTGAGAGAAAATTATACTATTTGACACAATTGATGTAGAAGAGATTACATCAAAAAGAAATCGAATAAAATATAAATATTTAAACGCAAAAACATTGATATTAAACATAAAATCTAATACCAATTTAAAAACTGTAACATTTAAAATATAAATTAAAACAAGACCTGCGCATATGCGCATGTTCTCTCCTAGTTTATTTTAAAATGCAAAATAATACCACTGAACTAATAAATAAATTGGTTTCACAATATTAGATGCGACAAAATATATTCCACAAAACACATTTTTAATTAGTCAATTAACAAGTCATTCATTATACACTAACAATCCATCAAAAATCAAAAAATTTCCAAAATTTACATTCTCCTAATAAAAAAGGAAAATGTGAAAAACTAGATTTTAAAACCCATGTATTGTCTTGGAAAGTAATTACTTAGTGAGAAGAATGAAGTGTTTCAAAATTTCCAATTGATTTATTAAAAAAAATGGAACATGGAGGTAATGCATGAAAAGTGGAAGATGAAAGATAAATATGAACAAAGTTCGCACATTTTGTACTCAAAGGGTAACTTGTCTTCAACTGTTTTACCAACTTCAACTGTTTTACCAACTTCAACTGTTTTATCAACTTCAATAGAAGTATGTTTGAGCAAAAATGTAAACATGTCATAACAATAATAGTTCAAACAAATGTAAGTGTTTGTGTTTTCATACTGTTCTTTTTTTTGTCCATACCATATATTTGGATCCAAGCCTATGATGTTCCCACGATTCAAAAGCATATGTTTTTGAATATGAATTTGATTTTGGATGTTTTGGTTTCTATTTTATTTTTACAGCTTACAATATTTCTATGTTTCTCTAAAGTTTGCAGTTTTTTGTGTTTCTCTATAATTTGTAGTTTTGGATTTATAATTGATTATAGTTTTATTGTTAATAATATGTGTTAAAAAATAACTAAAATTTTATGTGTTAATATCTAATAATAAATTTATTAAACACATATCAAAATCTGATTGATAAACTTAACATGTGTCACGGATGATTTAACAACTTTTAAATATTCTTGTTTATATAATAAAATTATAACTTGGGTAGTTCAGATGGTTCGATTCTGATATTACTCGATATCCACATGTACGAATAAGGAGGACTACGAACAGATAGATATTGACGATAAGAATAGTTTACTTGGTTTAGGAATAGTTAAACGTAAAACTGCGTATAGACGATCAAACGAAAGTCTTTCTTATGTTGACTAGAATAATTTGGTAAACAGATGATGGATCTCGTGTGTTTACCAAAGTATGAGACCGGTTTGTAATGGGTAATTAACATTCATTCAAACTCACTGATGATTGCTTTCTTTTCAGAACGAATATATGTACTAATATACACACATACGACACATAATCGCAACATCATTGATGTAATCTGATAATTCTTAAAAAAAAGGAGAGAAATTGATAAAGCAAACTCCATTAGAAATAATTGAAGAAAACATAAAGAACCTAGCAACAATAAAAACGCTAATCAAGCAAGTATTAAAAACCATATAACCGGGAAGAAGATGTCGAACAAATTATTAATAAAAGGCTAAAAGCTATTCCCTAATTATTCCTAATCACTAAAGTAACTCCAATTGCAAACTGTCCTTTGCCTTGATCATCGTCAGTCGTTCATGCTCGTGGATTAGATTCATAAGTTGAAATTCAGATATACAATTTCTTCATCATTCTGATTACAGGCTCGCCAGAAACATTTAACAAAAAGACAAGAGCCGAAAAGAAAAACAATTACGGACATCACCACCATTGTCCAAAACAAAACTATTACAGTTTCTTCATACCGTGATGTATCCATGGCGTTAGTGAGATTCCCAAAAATTAAACCTTGCTTTTTGTTGCAATCGATTGTGGAAGTCTTATAAACGATGTATATAATATATATATACATATATATTAATATATTTCAATTATATACCATATAGATTAGGAGATTTACTTTATTTATGGATAAGTTCCGTACGTGTCTAAATAATTAACAAAAAATAAAGTCAATCTCGCTCCATCAAACCTATAAATTGTTCCATTTTATATACGATATATATTTTATTTCTATTGTGTATTGGTGAGTTAGATAATTATATTAAATGAAGTTTAAGAGAAAATCTATTAACTAATAAAAGAAAAACACAAAAAAAAATATAGATTAGATAAATTAAGGGCAATGTTGGACGACAAAAAAGAAGAAGATAA